AAGTAGTAGAAGGCATACTCGGACAACATCGACGTCATTCATCCGAGTAAAACCATCTTTCTTATTAAACAATTTCTTCATGTCGTCGACGTGTAAGTTCGGCTTCTCTATTGATCATCAGGAAAAACCCTGGAAACCATGATGGGCGGGTGATATGACGAGTGTACCGGCCTACATCATCGTGTCGAATCGTAGACCAGTGATTAAGCAGAACTCCTTCCACCCAAAACAAGTATACGCCGGTGGAAAATGAAACCATATCTCTTCCTCACCACGTTGTATACTGTCGGGTAGATCGCTAGTCATGGTCTGAAGCCACAAATGGGTCAAACTAGCATCTCCACCGGATGCTGTACTCTCAGCCATGGCCGAAGCAGGTTTCTTCAAACAATTTTTCTTTGTGCAGGTGAAAGCTTCGAAGCAATTGTAGTGGCTAGGCTAACTTTATTCCTTAATGTCAATGAAGCCGAAAAAATTTCTACAAAAAAACAATAAACATACCAAGTTAGATATACCAAAAACTACACTGTCAAGATATACCAAAAACAATAAACATAAATAGTAGTTTATTCTTGAAACTAAAATTTGCAACACTGTTTTGTCTTTTGGTTGAAATGAAATCGCAACGAGATAATGAGAATCGCAACGCGGAAATGACTATCGCAACGAGAGAATCGCAACGCGAATGACTATCGCGACGAGAGAATCACAACGCGAAATGAAAATCGCAACGCGAAATAAAAAATCGCAAAGCGAAATGAAAATCGCAACGCGAAATGAAATCGCAATGCGATTTTTGTTTCGCGTTGCGTTTTTTTATTTCGCGTTGCGATTCCTCGTTGCGATAGTTATTTCCGCGTTGCGATTTTCATTCTCGAAACTATTCTTCTTCTGCATTACTTCAACCAAAAGACAAAACAAAGACAAATACTAACTCACAGGCTAAACAGTTTAGCAGTATTGGCAGCAATCGAATGAATTAATAAGAAATCTAAGTGAAATGGTTAATCTATTATTGAAATTACCAGTAACTTATCATCAATCTCAATATGAAAAACCTAAAATAATGCAAAAATTTCAAAAAAAAAAACAAAAAAAAAAACTAACCCTCGGAGGTTGATTTTCCATTTCTGAATGATTGTGAGGGATTTTTTACTGTGAATGGTTGTGAGGGATTTCGCCGGCGATGGGGACGGAAATCTTCGGAGATGGGGACGGATTTCGCCGTAGAGAGTGAGAGATGGAGATGGGACTGAGTGTTGTGATTTGGGTTGAGGTATGAGTTGCGATTACTGTGGACGGTTCAGTTTCCGATTTATTAAGAAAAATTCGTGTTTGGAATTTGAAAAAAAAATACGCGTTAATACGAATGGCGCTATGTAAATCGCGTTGCGAAAGTCAGAATCGCGTTGCGAAAGTCAGTATCTCGTTGCGATTTTATATTATCGCATTGCGATAGTAAGTATCGCATTGCGATAGTCAGTATCGCATTGCGATTTTTCCAATTCGCGTTGCGATTTACTTATTCGCATTGCGAATTGGGAAAATCGCAACGACACTGTAGACCATCGCAACGCGATTTCCAACTATCGCAACGCGAAATGCAACGCGAATTTGCGATAATGGAGATCGCGTTGCGAATTAGCGATCGCATTGCGAATTAGCGATCGCATTGCGATTTTGTTGGTCATTTTGGCAAATCTGGAAAAAGTTGGTTAAAATCGTATATTATAAGGCATTTTTGGTCACTGAGACGATTTTGTCTATTATTAATTATACAATACTTAAGATTAAGATATTTAAATATTTAATATATTTTTATTTATGACTGAAATTAAATCTGGATAATATATTTATCAGAACTTATTTCCTTATTAACAGAAAAAGGGACGAAAAATTTAAAAGAAAACGCCGCGGCTGGGGAACTGACTCTGTTACGAGGAAACCAAGAATAAGGGTGCAAAGTAACAGTCGCAGAGCACGTTTGGGGTATTAGATTTCATAATTTTAAGCATGCCATCATTATATCACATTAAATACATACATAAATATGTGCAATTTTATATAACACAAATTACTAATGATGCGCCAAAATCATATGATAAATGAGATTATCTTACTAACATTCAGCACCCTGAATATGGTACGCATCAAAATTTTATATCTTAATATAAAAATAAGTGTTTAGACTTTACATCGAAAACGTTTTAATGTTTAAAGATTTTTTTGTTAAAAATTTGTGTCTAATTTTTTCTCTGTTACATTTTTAGGTGCCCGAAAATCAATCGCCATTAAATTTGGCCGTTAAGTGACACATGTCACGTTCTTATAATTTTAGAACTTTTATTTAAAATAAAAATAAAAATTACTTTTTTGTATAAAAAAAAACATTTTTCCAAATATTAAAAGAACCCTAAACTTTTATTTTAATCCCTTTCTCACCACTGGTTGCCATCAATACCGTCAATTGACTGAATATCCAACGACGTGTGACTGACCAACCACCAACTACCAAAAGCCCTATGCTTTCGCAACCAATCTAACACCCAAAAAATATGTAATTGAAAATTTTCGTTTTAAGATTTTAAAACCATAAATATCCCTTAGAGGGATCGTGATAATCGTCCGTTTAATCGGATTTGGTGGCAAGGTCAGTACCGTGGCAGTCGAACTTTAGCCGTGGCAGGGAGGGGTAGAAGGGAGAAAAGGGGGAAGGGGAAGGGGAGGGAACGTGTCGGGGGGACGGGGGCGCATTGTTCAGTTTTTTAATATAAAATATTTTTAAAAAATTCAAAATCCAGAACCTAATATGTGTTGGTTAATGAGATTTTTAATGGCGGTTTTTAAAATTCTATTAATATGATCACTTAATTATTTAATTAATATCATTCAAGCCCCATGTCGTTAGTATTTAACAAAGTTACTGACGTGCCAGTTAATACAGTTGGTATAATTAGACATTTGATCCTCAATATTTTTATATTTAATTAATTTGGTCTTAATTCAAATTTAATTTAATAAATTAAATCTTTAATCAAGAGGTCGTGACACTTGACACAGCTGACACGTGTAAACACCTAATCGAGGGTTTTTATTTATTTATTTTTATTTAATTACTTTAATTTATTTTCAATACAATCAAATCGTGAGACGTGTGTCCTATTGCTGAGAATGGAACGCCCAAACCGTTAAACGCAAGTGCTTCAATTGGTTCAATAATTACAACAAACTACATTTATCTTATTTATTTTTATTTATTTACTTTAATTTATTTTCAATACAATCAAATCGTGAGACGTGTGTCCTATTGCTGAGAATGGAACGCCCAAACCGTTAAACGCAAGTGCTTCAATTGGTTCAATAATTACAACAAACTACATTTATCTTATAATATTGTTAATGATATAAAACAAAAAATAAAATTATTCAAATGAGATTTCGAACATAGATCAATTATAGAATATATGAGAACCTAAACTAGTTAAACAAATATATTATTATTTTATAATTAAATACATTATATATTTTTAAATTGTATTTAATGTGATATTTAAAATAAAAATTAATTTAATATTCTTATATCTTTAAACTAAATTTAATAATTTTGTCATACTTACTTTCAAAAAATATAAATATACAAATATTAAGCATGTTTTTATTTTAAATCTCACATTAGATACATATTAAATACAATTTAAAATATTATAGTGTATTTAATTATAAAATATGAATATTAGGTTGACCATAGTTTTATAATATATATATATATATATATAAATTAATTATAATAATTATTTTTCTCATACTTATTTTTATAATATTATATTTATTTATAAAAATGAATATGGACAAATATTAAATTTAATTTAAAATTATAAAAAATTAAATTTATTTTCAATTTTAAATTTTACATTAAATATGGTTTAGAATATAATGTATTTAATTGTAAAATATAAATATTAGGTCTTTTATATTATATAATTGGCCTAGGTTTGAAATCTCATTTGAATGATTTTAATTCTTTGTTTTCTATCGGCAAATTTGTTTGAATAATGCAATGGAAAAAAAATTCTTCACATAGTGCAATCGAACAATTATTTGTTTAAATAGGGTGATTGTTACAGTGACCACCATAGGTCTCTAGGAGCACACAACGACCTATGGAGCACTTGGCGACCTATGGAGCTGTAACAATGAGGGAAAAGAGAAGAGTTGCTGCAACAGAGGAGGTTTTGTCGCAAGGAGCACTTGACGACTAATGAGGTCACTGTAGCAAACACCCCAATTCAATAAATAATTTAGGTAGAACCCTATATGAATTTTTTTTTCCAACACCCTGCATGGGCAAGGAAGCCGTTTTCTATCATTAACAATATCAAATAAAGTTTGTTGTAATTATTAAACCAATTGAAGCACTTGCTCTAGTGGTTTGGGTGTTCCATCCCTAACACGGGCACAGGTTTAAACTTCCCCATGGCTAACAATATTAAATGCCATGTATGGGCATACATGAGATTGAGTGAGTTGGTTGATTTAGGTGAAGGAACCGCCATTGTGAGTGGCGCGTCACTTGAGATGCTATACACGTGGGTTATGTTTGATTAAATTCTTTTAATTTATTAATGTTAAATTAATTAATTTGTTTAGGTTTTGGGCGGTAAAGCATAATAAATATTTAATATGTATTGCCCATGACGAAAAGAGCGAAAGAAACAGAATTGTGATGTATTAAAAGAATTTATTTTAATTCAAGTGATCAAAACTAATAATTATATTCAATTTTCATCTTTAAAAAATAAGCAAGTATTAGTTCACTGTTACATCAATGAAAGATAAATTAGATAGTAGTAAGTTTCAAAATCCGATAAGCCACGCATGTTGAAATAAATCAACACGTAATAGAATTAAATGTAATTCATCAAGTGATTAATTAGACTAATACTATACTAATTAATCCGTTTGATCCTTTATTATACTTGTACAAAATTTGATTTTTATTACGACGAACAGGAAACTTAACAACATCTGTTCAACCCATTTGAATTTCGACAGTTGCTACAGTTTTCACTTGTTTGTAACCCCAACCGGCGACACAAACAGATAGAAGCTTGTCCGGGAAAACCGAGATCCCTGTCGTCGAACAGTGGTTTGTACTCGGTCGAGTTAGCGGTTGAAACCCCGGTTGTGTAGTTGTTCTTCCTTCCAAATGGAGAAACCCCAATTGATAGCTCCAAATCTAACTCTTGCTCGTCGCTTGGAATTTTGTCCTGCTGCTGTTGCTCTTCGTCTGTAGTCATCCCGCTGCTGCTAGAGTTGCCTTCTTCGACTGGTTCCGCCTTCGCCTTAATTTGGAACTCGTTGAATTTGAAAGCCAGAGATGGGTTTGCAGAAACGCTTCTGAAATCCAATTCAGTGTGTGTATTTTTATTGGTAGTGGCTTGATTGAGTGGACGATGAGTTTGAGGATCGATTCCTCTGCTTAAAAGCTTCCTTTTGATGTGGGTGTTCCAGTAGTTCTTGATCTCATTATCTGTTCTTCCCGGTAATCTTGCCGCTATCAAAGACCATCTGCCATATCAGATATTCAAATCTCCATCAAAAACGAAAAAAAAAATAGAGATTCACAAATGTTTCCTTTGAAAAAAGAAGCAACCAACTTGTTTCCGAGTAAACTGTGGACCTGGATGATAAGATCATCCTCTTGTTCAGTGAAATTCCCCCTCTTAAGATTAGGTCTCAAGTAGTTAATCCATCTTAATCTGCAACTCTTGCCACACCTAAGCAGCCCTGCATACATACATACATACATACATATATAATTCAAGACTGAAAAGAGAAAAGAACAAATAAAAGAAGGGGAAATTGGGAGCACCAGCAGCTTTGGGGAGGGAACGCCAGCAGCCTTCACCATGAATACGGATGTAATCAGTGAGGCGTTGGTCTTCCTCTTTGGTCCAGGCACCTTTATTGGTATGTGCCTTCTCACAGCAGGGTGACCTTCCCATCCCAATCTCCTGTTCAATTCCTCCCTTGAACAAATCAAACACACCAACTTTGGTCTATGTATATACGTGTACGTGTGTAAGAGACTGAGAAAGTGGTAGCGGTGTTTAGTTTTGGCGTTTGTAAGGGATAATGATTCGAAGAAAAGGGAGGCTATTTTCTGTTTGGGAAAGCAACCGAGAAAGAGAGGATTTTATTACAGTGGGGGAAGAGGCGGCCCAGAGTGAATACGGTATATGTTTTGCTGTTATTGCAACTCGTAGCATCTCTAAAATATTTGTCTGTCATTATATAGAATGTAAGAACATCACGGATCGATACCTACTTCATTTATTTTTATTTTTAAAATGTAATAACGTACGTAATTCATTAATATAATGTGTACATGAAGTGTGTTTTAATTAATGAGGTGATTTGAATTTCAGTGATTAAAATAATAATATATATTTTTAAATATAAATAATTATGCGTGTTATTAAAAAAGTTATGAATAGTATTATTTTGTAATTTCCTTAAAATATTAAGAAACCAATGAGGTGATTTAGTTAAGAGTACTTAGGGAGGGGCATATGGGTAGTGTTTTGAAAACCAGACCGGAATGGTCGGTTCAACCGGTTCAACCGGAAATCGTTGTTTAATCCGATTCAATCTATACCGGTTGAATCGTTACTAGTGAATCAACCGGAACCGCTGAACCGTTCAAACCGGACCGGCTGAAAATCAGAAAAAAATCGAGAAAAAAAAACCGCCAATTTTGTTTTATTTAAAAAAAATTAAACCAAACGACGTCGTTTGTTAAACGAGCCAAATCGAACTCGAGTATTGTTGAGCTCAACTCGAACTTGAAAACTTTAAAAGTAAGCTCAACTCGACTCAAACTCACGAGCTAAAAATTATCAAGTTCAACTCGAACTCGAAATATAATATTGAAACTTGAACTCGAAAAGGCTTGAACTCAAAAAAAAAATTAGAAGCTCGATTGAAGTAAAAGAATAGTTCACTCAATGCTCACCAAAAGGCTCCATGATTTTGAATGTCAAATTACATCTATTATTTATAGAAGTTAGTTGGGATGATCTTCTATGTTTCTTAGCCATGTGTGATTGTTTTGTTATCATATTTTCTCTTTAGATTTTTGGGATGCTCTTCTATCTTTCTTAGCCATGTGAGGTTGTTTTTAAAAAAATTAAACCAAACAATATCATTTTGTTATGATTTTTTTAGCCTCAAATTTATTTTTTAATTATAGTTATATAATTATATTTATTATTTAATATGTTTTACCTTAAATATTATGTTGTAGTTAATTTGAATCATTTTGTTTCACTTGATTTTATGGTTTTTAATTTATATATGTTATGACTTGCTTTGAATATGACTTGTGATATAAAAAAATATTTTTTATTAAATATTTTTGATATTTTTATTTAATTTTTTTAAATAATTATGACGTCGTCCGATTCTTCCGACCGATCAGATCGATTCGACCGATTAAACCAATAAACCGATAACATGATCGGTTCGTTAACCGATCCGATTTTAAAAACTATGCATGAGGGCTGGATTTGGTGGTACGTATCTATTATTTTTAAAGGCTCTCGGTGTTCGGCCTCATTAATATTTTAAAGAGTCCCAAAGTAAATGGACTCGATAATATTTCATGAGAACAAAAATTAAAACTAATTTTCATTTAATATTTAAAAAAATCGATTGGATCTTAATTTAATTTATAATCATTATTTCCGTATCCAAAAAAGTTATGAATTTAAATATATATTAAAATGTAAAATAGAACATCTTATTTGTAGATTAACACGTGATTATATCTAGTTCTTAGATGAACATTTGATGAAAGAGAGCAAAAGCGCGGAAGCAAAAGCAAAATAATTAGGGTGTTCATTCGATTAAAATAGTAGCCGACCGAACCGATACTCTTAATCAAATTAACTGAATTTTTTTTCTTTAACCATTAATCGAATTGAATAAATTTTCGTTAATTCGGTTAATTTTTGAATTAATCAAATTTTTTAGAATTTTAAAATTTAATATTTTTAAATTAAAAAAATAGTTTACAATCTCTAATTAATTTGATTCAAACATTATATTAAAATAATGATTCGAGTGATAACTAATAGATAGGAAAAAATCATGCAAATTCCAGAAACATTAAACAAATGAAATAAAAGAGCAAAAATCACAAACACATAAACGATATCAAATCACAAACCTTAAATCAAACAAGTAATTAAAATCTTTAGAGTTGAAGTAAACTAATCAAAGAGAATATCTAGAATTTTGAAGTTAGGAAGCTAACCTGAATCGAGAGAGCATAACTAAGATTAGATAGAGATAAATAGAGAGAGGGAATGAGAGTTTGATGAAAAGTCGAGTCACTGGTAAGATGAGATTGAAAGGTTTACATTTAATTTTTAGATTATTTTAATTAATTAAAATTGATTTGGCCATTTGGGTTTTAAATGGGTTTTAACTTTTAAATAGATTGGGGCATTGGGCCGGCTGAGTTATATAATTATATTTAAATGTTAATTCGGTTAATTAATCGATTTCGAACCGAATTAACCGTTAATCGAATATCTAAAAAAATCATTAACCGTTCTTCGACCGAATTAATTCGGTTTGGTCGGTTAATTCGGTTAAAACCGAATTTTGAACACCCTAAAAATAATTATGGTAAAGCCCCAATAATTTGGTGTTTTCTCAAAAAATCATCGGTGATCGGTATATTTACCGATCTAACACCGGTCAGATTATATTTCCCGATCTAACACCCGTAGCAGTAAAGCGCGCCCCCTGCCCCGCGCTATATGCTGATTTGGCGCCACGTGGGGTATAGCGTGCCCCTTGTACCGTGCTATACGCTGACATGGGTTACACGTGTGTATAGCGCGCCCCCTGATCTGCGCTATACGTCACGTAGGGGTATAGCGCGGATCAGGGGCCGCGCTATACGCCGTACCGAAATTCTATTTAACGCGATCTCTGGTCTGCGCTATATCTTTTATGAATAATTACATATAGCGCGGTGCAGGTACCGCGCCTTATATGGTTATAAATACCCTCATCCGCCGGTTAAGTTTCTCACATCTCCTGGCATATCTCCTCTCAACTTATAAATTAATATAACAATTCCGTCAACGAGTAATAATTCAGGCAATCTTCTCATATTTGATTTAGAAGTTCGTGCGATTTTTTGTTATAAGGTAATTTTGTTATAATTTTTTAATTATACTTATTGTTTATTATCATTATTTGAAAAAATATTATACTATATATTTTCAATTAATTTTTATGTTTGTAAAATTGAAAAGCGGGAGCATACGTCGAAATAGTTTTGCGGTGTAGGTAATAATATAATATTATATTATTTAAATTATTTACGTTGATGTGTAAAAAATTTATTGTGTTATAATTTTGTTCATATATAATTTATTTAATCAGGTTTGTTTCAGTTATTTTTTTTACAGATATAATATTGCTGCACTTTTAAACTCAAAGAATGGCGCGACTTTCAGCTATTGTTTATTATAATGGTGAAATTCGAGAAGATGAAACTGGCGTTGTTTTCGTATCAAATGAGCGTGTTAAAATATCATTCAAGAGAAACATAACTCTTGAGGAGCTGATAACGAAGATTTCGAGGAAGATTCATGTTGGAAGTAGTAGAAGAATGTCGTCGTTGCAGTACAGATTTCCAACATCATTGTTGCCATTAACTTATACAGCGTTTGAACTTTCGAACAATGATGATGTTCAAATGATGGTTGAAGCTCAAAGTAATTATTCAGACGCCGCTATTGAGATGTATGCACATTTTGTTCAAGTGCATGCTGTTCATGTCAATTATTAAGCTCCCACTATGGGCTGGCTGAACAAGTTGATCAAGTTGACAGCCCGACTACAGTAATGTGTAATGATTTTAATGTCATAATGGGGAGACATTCATCCGCAACTCCTTACGATATGTACCGAGGTGGGTCTACGAACAATTCGTATGGCAGCACCACGTCCAGTTCAAGGGGAAGACATTCATCTGTAAATTTCTTTGACCTTAATATGGAGATGTCATCGACGCAACAATCTGTGCAGTTTCTATTTAACACGATGGCTTTACGCTCCACGGGGAGGCATTCGACTGCGAACTTTTTCGATCTCAATGTTGATATGCCTTCTAGTTCAAGGGGAAGACATGCAAGTAGTAGGTTCTTTGACCTAAATATGGAGCGCATGGAGGAACCATCATCTCCACCAGAAGAACCGCTTCGTGAGCCTGGTGCGGATGGTGCTGAGACTGGACTATTCATTCACCCAGAATTGCCGCAATTCAACTTCGATGATGATGATGTAGATGAAGTTCCAGGAAATGTGACACAAACTGTAACATCCCAAACTATGGGTTAGTGACTAAATGGTAAAGTTTCATAATTTAGTGGTTAAAATAGAAGAATGGATTAGTTTAATGATTTATCTAGAGATAAATCCTAAAAGTTTTAGTAATTATTGAATGAATTAATGGGTAAAATGGTCTTTTTATCTAAAAGATAATTATCTTATCTCTTTATTAAGAGATAAGCATATAGGGAGATATTTCTCCAGAACTTCTCATTCTTCTTCCTCTTTTCCCGTATCCCCAAGCTCAAAGGTGAGTCTTCTACTTAGTTAATTATTTGTTAAGTTTAAGATTGGGTTTTGATCATTAGATGATAACTAAGCTTAAGGAAAGCTTAAGTTATCTTAAGATCAAAAGATAAAGAAGATAGAGAAGATTAAAGATTAGAGGTTCTTGAATGAAATATTGGAATAGAGTTCATAACAAGAATTGAAAGTTGGATTTGACTTGTTATCAATATAAGTAAGAGATATGAAGTAATAGAATTGGATTTGAAACATGTTGCAAATTTGATGTAATTATTAAATTATATATGGAAGATAGGATTTTGAGGTTTAAGATGAAATACATGAATATAGATTGGTTTAAGGATGTGTACTAGAGTTAAGAATGAAAAAGGGGATTAAACATGAAGGATTTAATCCAAAATGAATGATTTTCGGGTTCAAAAAGAGGATTCTGGGTAGAGTGCACCGATGCACATTCTTAGTGCATCGATGCATCAAGGTTAAAACCCAGAAATTGTTTGAATGTGCACCGATGCATTGGTAGTGCATTGATGCACTCTTTTAAAATAAATACATCGAATGCAATTCATGCATCGATGCATAAGTAGTGCA